GGGGGGTCATTGGAGAATTACAGTTCCAGCAGCCTGGACATTTTGTCTACTGGTAGAAGTGTGAAAAGAAACTCACTGAAGATGGACGTCAGGTTGACCTGGATGATCAGCCACTGGTGATGACCCACATGAGAGCCGAACAGAGAAAACACAGCTGTCTTCTCTCCGGGTTCCGTCAGGAGGCCGTACACCCGGATCTTCTCCGTGTGGAATGTGATATTGTCCCAGGTTTGGCCTTCGTTCCAGGAATACCTGAAAGTTAGACATCACTGTAATAAGCTAACCCACAACGGGTACTGAGGAAACACTAAATCTCTCCGAGGGACAGGACCCTCTATATATGTTGAACATGTATATTTCATGAGGGTTTGGAAATAAATCATTGCCGTTCGAGACAACAAATGAACAACGTTTTGGGTGGTATAGCTTTAATCATATATACTTGAAACTTTTCTTTATATGCATGTATATTTTCTACGTAATATTACTCATCTTTACCCGTTGTGTGTATTTGATTTTACAACATCTTATATTTTTACCGCTAGAAACACATGACCTAGTATTGCGTGGTCTTGAAACTAGCTGTGCCTCTTATAGTAAGATTCAGCAGGTTATCTAAAAAAGACGAATTTATTTTTCTGACAGTCTCCTGATGGGCCAGTTCTTACAGAAGTATATATGATAGCCTCCCCCCTTCCCTGGGGGGACCAGACCCTGTGTGGTACTTACAGGAGTTGGTTAGTGATTCCAAACTGAGGTACAGCCACCAGGAGGCCTCCATGGTCACCAATGCTGTAGAAGTTGTGACCTTCCAGCACCTACAAGGTCAAGGTCAGACGAATAAATTATCAAGGCTGATCACTACACAATGTCATTCCATTAAGATAAACTTCTTCATAAACCAGACATAAAAATTGACATATTAGGGATTTTTCATGTAGAAAGGGTTTTCAATGAGTTTCCATTAAATACATAATTTCATGATTTTATTGAAGCTACGGTGAGTTGAAATGTTTTGCAATTAATCTCATATGAAATGGAAAGGATATGTCGGGCATTAGCTTCCTTGCGATAGTGCGGACCTGATGCTGACTTAAAGAATGCTACCTCACTAAAATAACATGCTGAAGGCACCAAGCACGATACCTGGTCACATTACACAGATGTGTGCTGGAGGCAAGGTATGTTGGGTATTTGCATTCTTACGATCGCGCTGATCTTATGCTGACTTAAGGAGCGCTACTTCGCTGAATTACCATCCTAGGACACCAAGCACCTGACCCGGTCACATTACACTGACAACGGGGTAAATATATTAGAGACTTACCATGTGCCAGGAGTACCCAGCGTCACTAGACAGGTAGACATCAGCGTCACGCTTCAGGTTCATTCCCAGGGTTCCAGTAGCCAGCACGATCCCCGGGGCGTTGGTCCGTGACAGGATCTGTATCGCACGACTTCCAGGGAACAGCCTGCTGTACTTCTGGGCTAGATGAAGGGAGCAGTTGATGGCCTGTTTGAATAAATATGTATGATGTCATACACTTATTCTGATGATGCAATGTATAAATATTGTGATTTCATATACAGATTGTTATAATGTCATACAGATTCTGATGATGAAATACACAAATAAAGATGATATCATGCAGATTGTTCTAGGTAATATACAGATTTGGATGAAACAATACACAGATTTTTATGATGTTATACACCATTATCAATGATGTTATACACAAATATCAATGATGCTATACATCAATTTTGATGATGAAATACACACGGAAATTTACTGAAAGTCTGTATGCATGTATTTACATTTCCCCCCCTTAACCCTTTCACCCCTAGGTAACTTTAGTAGACTCTACCATACATTGATCTGGATTAGTCCATTATGGCCTACAGTGGTGAAAGGGTTAACAGATATAGTTAAACAAGCAGGTCAGAGGTTTCATACATATAAGACTAGGATACACTTATCAGGAAGTTTCTTTTAATCAGGAAGAATTTCTGCTCAGGAATAAATTTTGTTTTCTCTGTTTGAAATAATAAATGCACATTCAGCTGAGACATGCCAACTTCCTCATAGATAGTCATTCAAAGAAACATATATAAAAACAGAGAGCAGTCTTTTCATTGAAAGCCGGTTGCTGACAAAAGAAGTCTGCAATATATCAACTTGGAACTGGTTATTTTTTTTCAAAATATGTGTAGGTCAATATTACAGCATGCGAACATTCAACCGGCTATTTTGTCCCGAGTCGATCACCTGTTTCAAAACTTAGTGAGTGAGAACGCTGGAGAGGCTATGATGTTCACAAGATTTCCACCGGTATTTCCAGGTAATTTCCTTATTTACCCAACTGAACACCAAACTCAGACACTTGTAAAGGAATTATAATACTGCCACTTTATGTCCATTGGCATTATAAAGGGATTTGGCGATAAAATGAGGGAAATGTATCAAGGAATTCGTAAGAAACGAGAAAAAGGGACATGTAATAATTTTTTAGAATAAAGGAGTTTCCAAAGGAAACAAAGGGCATTTTATCGAAGTTTTACAAATAAGGTGAATGATTCAGATCTGATCATGAGGTCGGAATATGGGTCGCAGTGACCTACTTTCGGTGTGTGACACTCCATCATCCAAAGTTGTACTCTGTGTACCAGTAATTCCACATAGTAATGGAGATATGCCCTGATTAAACTTTAGGAAGGAAGTACAAGACAATGGCGGTCGATGGGGAAGTCCTGTTTGTATCTACTAGAGGGGAAATGACAAGGAAACTAATCAACAAAGCTTAAATACTCGAAACAGAAAATAAACAAAATTTTCTATCAAAGCTGAAATATTTAAGAGAAAACCCGAACTCTAGACCGATGCTCTACCAATTGAGCTTCCTGGTCACCGACGATCGACACAGTCCATTTCTGCTACATTCCTCCCTCCTTTAACAAGGGGTCACCGACGATCGACCCAGTCCATTTCTGCTATATTCCTGCCTCCTTTAACAAAGTCTTTGACACTGAAGACACACGAGACCCTATACATGTACCACCTTCTGTGAGTATATTTTGTGAGGCGCCAAATGTAACAGGAGAGGAAAAATGCACCTCCAGACAGGGGTTCGAACCCGGGGTCCTCTAAACTCTAGACAGATACTCTACCAATTGAGCTACCTGGTCACCGACGATCAACCCAGTCCAGTTCTACTACATGTATAAAGCCTTTTGTACATGCTTGTGTATGTGTACATCACATGTGTACAATAGTTGTATTCATATGTATGCGAGTATATATGTCCATGTGTACTGTATGCAGCATTAGTATGTATTACATACATGTGTATAGCCTAGTTTAATACATATGTGTGCAAGTGGTAATACTCATGCAATGTACTGATGCATGCTGGGAAATGTACAGGTTGGTGTGAAAAAGCATGCTGGGATGTTTAAATACACTGATGCATGCATGGATCTATACATCAATGTGTAATAATGTATGTGTCTCTAAATATGCTGATGCATGCTGGGATGTGTATGCTATTTACATGAATGCAGGAGAAAGCATGCTGGGAACTCTAAACATGCTGATGCAGGCTGGGATGTTTACAATTATGTACACATGTGTGTGAGAATGTAAGAGTCTAAATACACCAATGCATGCTGGGATACATAGATTTGTATGTGACTATATAAGAGTCTTTAGAAAAATGCTTTGATGCATTCTGGGATTTTTTGTATGTGCATAGCTTAATATACCATCCATTTTAACATGTTATGTGTATACACTGTATGTGTGTGTGTTGGATGGGGGATTCATGTGTGATGTGTGGGGTCCTAGAGTCAGTTAGTGTATGTGTGTATGTGTGTATGTGTGATGTGTGAGGTCCTAGAGTCAGTTAGTATATGTGTGTATGTGTGTATGTGTGATGTGTGAGGTCCTAGAGTCAGTGAGTGTATGTGTGTATGTATACATGATTAGTATATCAGGTGTATTAATTATAAAAAAATCCATACAAATAGAATAAACAAAATCAAAACAAACAATAAAATAACTTTCCTGACAAATATCTATAATTTGAGATAAAAATCACAACAACAAATGATTTTAGGCTTGAGACTTCAAACCAAAGAAGGTACAAAAATGGCTGTAGGAGAGACAGAAAAAACAAATGTAGGAGAGAGAGAAATTAAAGAACAAATGTAGGAATGAGATCCAGACAACACCAACAAAAAGAAACAAGTCACATGACTTTCATGCAAATGTCCTAACCAACACATGCTAACAACTTAACAGTGTGTTTACCTGGAGAAAGTCCTTAGCAAGAAACATCTGGAATGGAAAATACTGAGTCAGATGCATACATGGGATGTTTCGGGTGATTAAACATTTCTAGAACAGTACTGAGGAGAGAGAGATTGTAACAGTGAAGTGTCGGACAAAAAGGGAAACTCTTATCATGGATAGACAAAATCGGGATAAGTGCAAAGAAGGAAATACAGATTTCAATAATATGGCGGATCATTCAGTTCTATAACTCCCGATTGTTTGATAATGAAACATTTCCATTTCTGGCCACTTGGAACAAATTCTTCCACTTATAATCAACACTAACCACACTGCTAACTTTTACCATATTCACTCTAATAAACGTCCTCATCATTTAAGGACCCCTCCCTGTGTTTAGGCACCTAACTTAACCATATTTATCCTTCAATAAGCCCAGGGCCCAATACTTATTAACTGTAACTTAAAGGAGGTTGTGGGCTCCTTTCATGCTACCAGACGAAATAGCATCTGGTAGCATTTCGCCTGAACTGTTTTAGACATAAGTCAGCTTATTACCAGGTATGGGCTTATTGCCAAAAGAGTGTGGTATATAAATGCCTCCAAGCTCCAATCCCTTTCCTATTCCTTCACTACATACTTTATCCCTTCAACTCATTTTTCTGTCTTTTCTTCGTCTGCTGGATAACCAAACTTCTCGATAGTGAAGCGTGACTAAAATCAATAAATCAATCAATCAATCCAATGCCTCCATAGCTGATTGGCTAACCTGTTGGGTCAGTTTTTACCTGTACTAGCCAGCCTGGTCAGTTCTTACCTGTACTAGCCAGCCTGGTCAGTATTAACCTGCTCTAACCAGCTTGGTCAGTATCTCATTCACCCCTGAAATTTCATATTAAATGAACTATTCCAACCTTTGAATTGGAAGAGTTCAAATGTGTCTTTAAGGGTGAATGAGGTTTTTACCTGTACTAGCCAGCCTGGTCAGTTCTTACCTGTGTACAGTTGGTTGGTTTGCCAGATCGGTCAGTGGCTGGAGCCTTGACCAGCTGCCACTCTCCACCCTTGTCGAATGTGATGAGCGTACGCTGTGATTCCTGACTCAGGTCTGTGGAGACATTCATAATTTGAGAGGCAACATACACGCCTCGTATACCCTCAATCTTGGCCAGGTCTGCGAATGCCTCATCGGCGAAGTACCTACACACAAAAAAAAACATTACACTCACAGGGTTTTCTCTTATAAATTGTCTATACAGACACAGAGAGCAAATTTACCTAGCCTCTAGCAAACAATGAACACAAACAAACAGAGAGAATAAGTCAGTGCAAGACTTTCTCTACCAAAAGAGAGAAGACTCGTAGTTTTTATTCCACAAAACAATATTCTCTTACATTCCAAACATGACCTGCAGCTCTTCAGGCAGATTTTTGTTTACAGGATCTTATCCCTTGACCGAGAAAAATCTTCCCCGAGGGTTGAGATTCCCCATCTCACCTCAAGGGGGCGACTGATTCTTTTCTCTTACCCTGTTAACGTTGACCCTGTCATATACATGTATGTACATGGTACAATATTGACGTTACAGACTCAACGCATCCTTGCAGAATGAAGTGATGTTTATGCATTGATAGCGTGATGTCATACCATTGTTATGAATAGGTGAATCCCCCCGTCTCAACCCTAGGGTGAGACAAGGATATCTCACACCGGGTAAGTGTGGATACGCCTGTCCAGAGTAGGAGAAAACCCATTCTCACACCGAGGAAGTGTGGATACACCTGTCCAGAGGACGAGAAAACCCATTCGCACACGGGTAAGTGTGGATACACCTGTCCAGAGGAGGAGAAAACCCATTCTCACACCGAGTAAGTGTGGATACACCTGTCCAGAGCACGAGAAAACCCATTCTCACACGGGGAAGTGTGGATACACCTGTCCAGAGGAGGAGAAAACCCATTCTCACACCGGGTAAGTGTGGATACGCCTGTCCAGAGTAGGAGAAAACCCATTCTCACACCAGGCAAGTGTGGATACACCTGTCCAGAGTACGAGAAAACACATTCTCATACTGGATAAGTGTGGATACGCCTGTCCAGAGTACGAGAAAACCCATTCTCACACCGGGTAAGTGTGGATACACCTGTCCAGAGTACGAGAAAACACATTCTCATACTGGATAAGTGTGGATACACCTGTCCAGAGTACGAGAAAACCCATTCTCACACGGGTAAGTGTGGATACACCTGTCCAGAGTAGGAGAAAACCCATTCTCGCACCGAGTAAGTGTGGATACACCTGTCCAGAGTACGAGACAACACATTCTCATACTGGATAAGTGTGGATACACCTGTCCAGCGTACGAGAAAACCCATTCTCACACCGGGTAAGTGTGGATACATCTGTCCAGAGTAGGAGAAAACCCATTCTCACACCAGGTAAGTGTGAATACACCTGTCCAGAGTAGGAGAAAACCCATTCTCACACCAGGCAAGTGTGGATACACCTGTCCAGAGTAGGAGAAAACCCATTCTCACACCGGGTAAGTGTGGACACATCTGTCCAGAGTAGGAGAAAACCCATTCTCACACCAGGTAAGTGTGGATACACCTGTCCAGAGTAGGAGAAAACCCATTCTCACACCAGGCAAGTGTGGATACACCTGTCCAGAGTAGGAGAAAACCCATTCTCACATCGGGTAAGTGTGGATACACCTGTCCAGAGTAGGAGAAAAACTCTATCATACTTTCTTACATACTTACTAGTAATTATATAATTATTTCTTAATTTTCACTGCCTTATTTAACATTTTTACTTACATTTTTACTAACATTCAAAATTACCGTACAAATTATCCTTACATACATATATACATACACTCCCTTTGCCGCGCCTCCAGGTGGATTACCCTGTACTGGGCCTCACTTCCGGAACAAGTGGGCCTTGACCTTGGCTGTGTGAATTAATAGTAGCAAGATGGAAACATGCCGCGCTGTGGTATGACAATATTAGGCAGTCTAAACGTGCTTGTAAATCATTCGAGTATGCCTTACATGTCTGTTTTTTAATTTTATATTGTGAAAAGGTTTTTTTTGGGGTTGCTAGTGATGAAGCTGTGTTGTAAGATCAGCTTACTTGTTAGATCTGTAAAGACGCGGAACTCGTTACGCTAAAACAGATGTTACAGAATCTTAGCCTTCAACTGAGATAACCCAATCTACCTCAGTTACAGGGAATAAACTCCGCTACAGGAAAGGTAGGCTGGGGGAAATAAAATATTTGATTTTTTTTTTTTTAATCTGCTACCGGTTAAAAATCGAATAAGTCACAATAATACAGTATATATCTTTAACTTAAAACTGAAATCTCATAGTAAACTATGTAAGTTCGTACAAACTGTAAAGAGTACGGTGATTACCTCAGCCAGGTGTCCTTGTTTGCTCCCTTAGGATTGTAATATACAATGTTCTCCAGGTTGAGTGAGAACTTCTTGCCTTCCACATCGGACAAGTACAAGTGGGTGGTGTTATCACCGTGATTGACACACAGGAACACCATGTCCTCCGACGCATCAGCTACGTAGTAGTCCTAAAAATACAAGTGGGTGGAGTTATCACCGTGATTGACACACAGGAACACCATATCCTCCGACGCATCAGCTACGTAGTAGTCCTAAAAATACAAGTGGGTGGAGTTATCCCCGTGATTGACACACAGGAACACCATATCCTCCGACGCATCAGCTACGTAATAGTCCTACAAATACAAGTGGGTGGAGTGATCACCATGATTGACACACAGGAACACCATGTCCCCCGACGCATCGGCTACGTAATAGTCCTAAAAATACAAGTGGGTCGAGTTATCACCATGATTGACACACAGGACCACCATGTCCTCCGACGCATCGGCTACGTAATAGTCCTAAAAATACAAGTGGGTCGAGTTATCACCATGATTGACACACAGGAACACCATGTCCTCCGACGCATCGGCTACGTAATAGTCCTAAAAATACAAGGCGACATCGTCATTAATGCTAAAAACAGGAACATAATTGTCACTGTGAGGCTAGAAAGTAAGAGAACATATTCGTCATGGTAATATGTAGTAGATAAATATAAGATCTTACATGAGTGACCATTCATATGAGATTTATGAAACGAGTCCTAAGAACTTTTCAATTTAGCGGGCCTCTGGCGAGCTGAAATGAAAAATTTGTGACGATACGAGAGCATAGGTGATTTTTGAATCGAAACTCTCTTTCATACCACATATAAAGTATCTGAAGGATAAGTGTTCCAAGGCGTTAAACATTATACGAGTCCTTTCTCATACTGAATGGGGAGCGGACCGAGAAATGCTTTTGCGCCTATACAGATCACTTATTCGAACAAAACTGGATTATGGTTCTATGGTATACGGGTCGGCGCACAGTTCATACCTTCAGATGCTAGACCCAATCCATAACCAAGGGCTACGTCTAGCCCTTGGAGCTTTTCGAACAACACCTGTAAAAAGCCTGTACGTGGAAGCAAATGAACCATCCCTTTATGACAGAAGGAAAAAACTTTCATTACAATTTGCAGCTCAATTAAAATCAAACCCTAAAAATCCTGCTTTCAACCAAGTATTCAACCCCAAATACCAAAACATATTTACGCAAAACCAAAAACTTCTGCCAACATTTGGTATCC